GAGTTAAGGTGGCAGCTTCCTTTTTGTATATTTATTTAAAACACTGCTAACAAATAGCAACTATATTTATTGTGTCAATGAATTATTTAATGAGAAAACACAATAAATATGTAAACTGAAGATATTTCTTTTAATCTTAATGTCCTAGTATGTTGCCCTTACTGCATTTAGAGATAAAATCTCAGATAAAATCTTGGTTGGATTAACCTATAACATACATTGCGTGACCTATCTCATAAGATGTTGGCTGAAAATCTGAAATGCGTTTTCGATTAGGAGGGATTACTTGGTCGCGGTTGTAATACTGCTTAGCTTGTGGCATAATATTATAACACTTCGGACTTGGCAGGATATTGGCTTTAAAATGCAAGTCTTCACAATCTCCTGTGGAAAGCGTGCTCGGTAAAAAAAATGACTACTTAAGTAGCATGCATTTTTCCTATTGATTATCGATAGTTTTGGAAATTCAAATATATTTTATAGAAACCACAAACGCAAAATGCTTTAGTTCAGTCATTCAAATATAATTACGTCTTCTATATAGTTTATCCCTAAGTAAGGAGTATATTTATGTTTTACAAAAGTTTTCTAATTGCCAAAAAATGTGAATCCTATTCATTCGTTGCATTAGCGCTTTGTGATTAAATTCTACAAGGTGCATGCGTTTCGCGTAAAGAAAATCGCATATTTTTAATTTTTATTAAAGAGTTATTATACATGGTTCATAGAATTTTGCGATGGATGCGGCCCATGTTGTACATTTCATCAGGAAAAGTGGTAAACGACCAGGTATGATGCAATGTGAATGGACATATCGCGGTATTAAGAAATCTCATAATTAGAAACTTTTTTAAAACCTAATTATACTCCTTCCTTAAGTATAAAATATAATGAAAACGTGATTTTCTATTGATTAACTAAAAGAAAGCATATTTTTGTTTGTGGTTTTTATAAGATATATTTAAATTTTCAAAACCATCGAAAATCAATGGGAAAAATGCATGCTACATAAGATGTCTTTTTTTACTAGACACGCTTTCTACAGGAGATTAAGAAGAAATGTTTTTTAAAGCCGACCATTTGCTAAGTCTAATATGTTAGAAGAGTATGTTTTAAGAAAATTCATATCACAACCGCGACCAAGTAATCCTTCCTAATCGTAAACGCATTTCAGAATTTCAGCCAACATTTCATGAGATAGGTCACGCACTGTAGGCACACATTAGACAGTCAGATTTATTGAGGCGAGAATACTGACAAAGTTTATCGCAGACTGCATTAAAAGAAACTAGTATGCGTACAACACGCCCATATAACTCAAGCGGCGGGACAAGTTTATAACTGAAATCGAATGCCTGATCACCAATAAGTCTACTACACATCGCTTCGCAACATGCGCGACAAGTCCAGAAGTTATCAGCGGACGGTCAGGCAAAAGATCACACTATCCATCAGATTTTACTCTACAGCGGTTTGTTGCGCTGTTGCATCTCAAGTGATCCACAGTTGGGGTTGGAAATGGCTGGCTGATGACAGCTTATAAACCAGAAATGACCATTCCGGTATCCCTTGTCTTTGTGGGTACCATCCGAGATCACCTTTTCTTCTCAATTATGTCCGGGGACGCGCATCTTCGGTTCTATTCGCAATATATTTATATACGTTAAAGGGAATGACGTTCTTTGGACAAAGGCACTTTATTGCGTGGATTTTCGACGCTCGCTCCCCAGGTCGTCGTCAGACGCAGACTGAGAGTAAATGTGCCGGCAATAGTTAACATCTGGCAGCGCACACAAAAAAATCGATAGCCGTTCGCGTTTGCGCTTGTGAGCGGCCGCTCTCATCCCTATTGGCAATCGTGTCTTCCATTTCTCCTTGAGACTTTTGTACGCGGCGTCCAACTCGATATGACGGTTGACGCACGATTCATCCGAGTGCATCTGATTTTACTCAACAGCGGTTTGTCTCCTGCGGTCGCCACCAACTAAACATGTATCATTTTGAGGAGCATGTACGGCCAAATCAAAAGAAGTGTAGACATGCTGCATGTAATAAATGATAAACGACTTAAATACAAAGGTGTTCATTGAGAATTCTAATTCTGAGGCGTTTTGAAAGGACAGAAACTTTTACATTCAAGGAGGAGATTGACACGACGCAGTACTGATTAACGGGTGACGATTATTTGTTGGAAAACGCGTTTAGGCAGGAATAATTACTCCTACTTTCATATTCGTGGCCGACACTAAGGAGAATATTTAAACTTGTTCTAGTCTCTCCACCGATTCCTGACGGGTATACAGTGGGTATGCAAAAGTTAAAAACGCTATTTACTACTCACCAAAAAAATATTTTGTCATTTGTTTTCAGCGCTTACACTGGATATAACCTAAATATTCATAGCAGATAGGTTGTAGATACTGCAAACAAACAGAAAACAGACAATTTGACAATGGTATGCAGAGGGATGCCAGTTAACCGACGGCAGACAGTGGATAACAACATATGTGCTTTTATCTTGTTCTCTATTCGTAGGCCTTTGCCCCACGCAAAAATCCCCAGGTAAACAACCACTTATGACCCCATCCACAGTCAACCGTCAGTTAAGTGGTGTCCCTCTCTATACCGTCGCCATTTCCGAAAACACCGAAGTGGTTGTAATTGTGCGAACTTCATTACGATATGTGCAGGAAGTCTGCTCATGAAAAAAAGTCTGAGTACATATGAGAAAAAATAGAATAATACCTGCAAATGGTCTTTTAATGAAGTTTACATTAAAATATCGTTTAAGCATAAGCGTAACGTCCGTTTAGGCTGTCTGCCAACAACATTTATTATGTTGTCGAGGATTTGTTGTATGCCATAATTAAAATGTGGTCCAATGGACAAGCAGGAATTCGCTCGATTTCGTACGGGACCGTTAAGGCAACAATTGCTTCACGCCGGCTCGGGTTCTCGGGCGGGTCATTGAATAATAAATTTAGATAGAGTTGCAAGGCGTATTCGCAATCAGTTAATTTGCTCATACAAAACGAGCACGTGTTGTATGGAATTAAATTGCATTTTTCCTATGTACATAATTACACAGCGTTTTAGATCGAATGGGAAATGTCAGTGAAACCGTCATGTTTCCCGTGCTTTCAAAGGCAGATCTTGACTAGTTTGTTTATTAAAACTCTCAATATAAGATATTCGTGGAGACAACGAATGTGCGGTTTTGACTGCGTAACAAATACATTTAAGATATTTTGTATAAGGAAGGCATAAACTTCGATTATTCTAGCCTGGCCAGCATGTAAGAATTTGTAGCGGATGAAATGCCCACATAAATTTCTCGTTGCCGTAAACGTGTGAACTCGCCGACAGAGGCACCAACGCGTGTGGAGTTAGGTGCAGTTTAGTCTTGAGAGGCATAAGTATGTACTCATGTTGCCAGGCATCTCAGTGTATGGGAGTTTACCTTGTCTGACAGACAAAACCGCTCTCCATCATAGGTCAGAATAATGACCTTAGTCTGCGAGAAGACAGCATGCGTCACTTGCTTTATGTATCAGGTCAAATGGTGCCCTAAATTACAAGAATAGTTGTCGGCACCATCATCAATCTCATGCTAATAGGTTTGGGCTAGTCGTTGCCTGTTGCGAGGACTTTCTTAAGTGTAGACAGGTAGATTTTCTCCCTAACGTAGCGAACTAAAAGGTATTTGGGTTAAATTGCGTGTTTTAACGCTCCATACCATTACACCGTTAACTCGTCAATAAGTATACACATATATATGCATTTATTTATGCGTATATGTTGAAATCAGTTACGTTCATTGGGAAAGAACTCCCTAATAACGCCGAGGGTTTCTTGAAGCCATGCACTCCGATGAGTCATCCATAAACAGGCATATCGAGTTAGATGCCGCGTACAATAATCTCAGAGAAAAGTGTAAGAGACGAAAACCGATCAACACGGACTGACCCATACGGCGGCAGCTTACTGGCTGAGACACCAAATGAGTATTGATATTGTAGCAAGTTTAAAATTGTAATTGTTTTCTGCAAACTTACTCTAGATTGAAGCAGTGTTTACCCGGGATAAATTTGAACAAGGCGAAGGCGGCAAAGCATGCAGAATTTAATGACGTCATAAATTTCTAGACCGCTCATTCAGCTGCACACGGTCATTGCATGATTATATTACAAGGCAAAACTGTTCAATCAACGATCGACCTAAAGAGCTAAAACGTGATAGGTAGCCTGAAGCAGGGTCTAGTATGCGGGTGCGGGTCGATCATTGATTGAACAGTTTTGCCTTGTAATATAACCATGCAATGACCGTGTGCAGCTGAATCAGAAGTCTCGAAATTTATGACGTCATTAAATTCTGCATGCTTTGTCGCCTTCGCCTTGTTCAAACTTACTCTAGTCGAAAATTTACTGAATAACGTTTTGTCTTATTCTCCAAGATCGTACTGTATTTCAAATTATATTTTTTTGGGCTACCTGCGTTCCAATTCATTCATTTACGTATATACAGTTAGTGAACTAACTCATGAAAGGTGTCGAAATTTACGAGTGATTGTCAATCACTCGCAAACCGACACCATTTCAGTAGTTTACTGTCTATGTTAATTAAGTACAAGTTTAAAAAAATTAAAAATATAAATAACGAATAGTAATATTGTTTTAGTGAAGTTTACATCTAAATATAATTAAATAAGTAGTCTAAAATTTAATATGACAGATTGGAATCTACCTATATTCTTAGTGTAGCTTTCAAAACACTTTCAGTGAGGGGTGTTATTTTTGGCGCACATGAAGTAAATGGTTTCAACAAGAGAAGCTGGAATTTGCTTAATTTCACCTATTGGGACGTAGAAGGAACAAAATCTTTTATAAGGTGACATGCCATGAGGCCGGTCGGTGTCCAATAAATTTTCATACAGATGACAGGCGTGATCCTAAACATACCATTTTGTCTTCATAGAGATACATTTTCTTCCGTTAAATTAATTAACAGAAGAAGGTGTAGCCGGCACCCACCTCCTTCAGTTGGACTTGTTCGGAGAAACGAGTCTCGCTGAGTGCGGCGGTGTCCACCTTGTAGTGCGCCAGTTTTCGGGCCACTAGCGCTGTCCTCCGTTCCGTCGATTGCTCCTCGGATTGTCTAGAAGAGAACAAACATTCCAGGCTGCTAGAGTGAGCGGACTCACCCTGCCAGTCTAGGGACAACGAGTGGGGCGACGGGAAGGAGATGGAGAAGAAGATGACGGGGAAGAAGAATAGGCAGAGGAAGAGGAAGAAGAGGTATGATGAGGAGGTGGGCGAGTATTGTTGTTGTTGTTGTTATTGGTATTGTTGTGTTTTCGAGTTTGAATTTTTCGACCATGTTTAATCATCTGCGACCCTGGCTAGCCTGCAGACGGCGTGGTGCCCAGCAATGTTTAGGCAACCTTTTCTAGGCCCTTCCCCTCGTGAGGGCAGGCAGTGCCACCCCTGCATAGGGCTGCCCATGTGCCGTTTGGCGCGGCCGAGCTCCACTTATTGTTCGTAATGGAGAGCGACTCGAATTTGCCGTGAGCCGCGGTTTCCG